CGTGTATTTATTAATTTGGTTAATAAAATGACTATATTAATAGGTAGTTATTTGTATGGTAGATATTCACTAACTAACTGAAACATCAGTTTACATGTGGAACCATCATGTTCGTTTCTAAGTGTCGATGATTTTTAGATTAAAAATACTTCAACTTTTTCAATCAATATTTTAGTGGCCCGTTGATCTGACTCCTATTTAGATCGTATGGATGTTTGCTATCGCCTATTCTCGTATATCAGCCTCGACTTTAATCACGTTAGCCAATAACGGGATTAAATAAGTCAAACAACGAGAATGGGATTTTGAATACATATATTTTGTATATAAGGTGAATGGAATAGCAAAAAGAGAAGCGGTGCAGAGTGGAGATGGCTGGTAAGCCAACTCATTTTTAGTCAGGCGTTAGCCAATATTTATAGGCAGACAAAAATAAGCTACAGACATGTGATGAGACATGGGATAAGAACTGTACACACATATACGCTCATATAAAAACAATGAAGACTGGTAAGCGAATAACTAACATGGTCAACATATGACTCAAGTAGAATGAATAGATTGGTCTGTCCGAAATCCAGAATGAGATATATGGGCTTAAAATAATAACTGACACTACAATATCAATTCACATATTCTAACCTTCTACTTCACTTAATCTAATTTTAAGCCTTTGAATTTGGATCATACAACTATTTTACGAATGAATATAGTTGTGAAATTCTTAACTACATAAACTTGATAAAGATGTATCCGATGTAATTATATTATATTAATAATACTAAAGATGATCTTGAAGCGCTCAGAATAGCAAATATTAAAATGAAGTCTTTTTGATTTGCAAATATTCCAAATGGTTGATGAGATGATTCTCCGAGGCAATCATTTAAAAAATAGCTTAAACGATGCCTTTTCTCCCCTTTAGCTATTTGTACAACAATAAATGACTGTTATTTGTAGTGTATTGATTAGGGAGTTCTTTTTTTAGAAAGGGAAAATAGTAAAATTGCTCATAAAATATGTTTTTGATAATTGACATTATATTCAAGAAGTATTCACCGTGTATTCATATTAGTCTACTTTCATTTCACATCATAGTTCAACAAAATGCTTTTTCTCATTGAGATCATGAATCGAAAGTACTAGAAGTCCATTTCGTCCTAGCATGGAACTCCTCAACAGTGCTCATACACGATCTTGTACACGGGATTTGATTCTAGGCTCTTCGATCTCACGCGCGAATGTGAGGGTTTTGTGAATATGTTTAAATTTTGTTATTGTTATGATACATGAACCTGACCTTAGTTAAATCACAACCATTGAAAATCAGGAAGAAATGCTGCTAATTGATTTGAAGTTAAACATATGTTATTAGATGGTAACCTTGTAATCTGATGGTCAAACATACTGTTGAACCTGAAAGTCGTGGGTTCTGTCTTATGTATTGTCATGGGGATGGACAATACTGAGGGGGTCACATGTTAAAATATAAAACAGATATTTTTCAACGGTTGCTTGAGTTGAGTCTATGATATGGACTATTAAATCAAAACATTGTGTTTTGTGATTCGGAGTAATTTTCTGCTCTAAATTCAGTATTACTACAATACTGTGCGGTATTGCCGTTAGGAATTCACATGAGAACTAATAGCCATCGTTACCTTTTGTATTGTCATTGGTTAGGGAATACAATTTCATTTAACTATATCGTATCTCTCTACCAAAATTGTATGATGCATTATTAAATGTCAAATGTATGATTTTCTGTTTTTTTTTCTAAATGGTATTTATCTCTTTCCTCTATTCTTCTTGGTGTACTGTTTGTTGTAGTTATTGGTTGTACGTCCTGGAGATAAAAGCGAACTATGGTTTCGACGTTTCATGGTCGAGGATCGATGCAGTGGTAATTCGATTTCATACACAGAATATCTATGTCATATTCATAAAGAAGTATCCAGTTTACTACATTGATATTATTGATGATAATATGAACACTATCGATATGGGTTGATGCTTAGATTATTGGTCTAGTTTAATCCCTTACTTTGGTTTTGTTTATTCAAAACAAACACTCCTAGTATTTGCAGCATGAAATTCGTCGAATGCCTTACTCTTTTCTTATGTACTCTTGTTGTTGGAGTACAACTTTTTTTTTTTAAAAAAAATACCCATTTATATTTACATCAATCTCAATCTGGTATTTATTCTTGAAGTGTGTTATGACTAGTGCTTCCTTGAAATATTTCAACAATTTCTGGCTTATATATTAAGGTAATGCATCATGTCTGTGTTTGTATATGTATGACTACTATTCACAAACAATATAAACCATACTACATATGTAGGTATAGATTTTATGTATGAAAAGAAAGTAGCTAGACGGGGCCAAGTTATGAGCATACACACACGGTGTTTGTATTTTCTTTGTTACTGTTCTCAGTTTGTCATCATCACCACATTGGTTTCATGGTTTGTTACTTTTTGCTTCATTTGCTTTCTTTCTTCATTAATTCAATATGATCCTATCATTTTAGATGAATAATAAAAAACACAACCTATTTTGATTCTTTGAATTACATCAAGTAGTGTTATTTTGCGTTTATGCACACGGTAGCGCATATCCAGCTCAACCCTTGTTAACAAAAGATCATCACCATAACTATAAGCAATAGGGATTCATTCATCCTTTCTCTCATTCTATGCCTTGTTCTCCATCTCCTTCTCCCTTTCTTTTTGTTTTCTGTTCACTGTGGACAACGGCAATAAGTTGCTTAAAATATGCCAAAAATGGTACTTGTTTTTGTGATTGTGAGTAGTGGTGAATTTTGTTGATTTCTTTTTACTACTACTGAGGAGAATCCATTAGCTTACTTTTACCCTGCCCACCCCTTATCCTGAAACTAATGTAATTTGTATTTTGAATTGAGATGTTGTATTCTGGCTTTGTTTTGTTTTGTTTCGCTTATTAATTAGATACGTTGAGAATAATGTATTTGTATGTTCTACTTTTGTTGTTGGTTGTAATTCTTTTGTGATAATAATTTTCTGACTTCTCTGTTTGTTTGTGTGTGTGTGTTTGTGGAGAATGACATTGACAAAATGATCTTTGAAAAGAGAACTATTGACTTATTGATAGCTTTGATTAAATTACATTAATGTTACATATTATTTCCCCGGATTTTTTTCTTAAAGGTTTCCCGCATATTTTGAACTTATCATGAGTTTTTCTTCTTATGTTCCAATCCTAAGGATTATCGGGATGTTTGCTTTAATTAATATACGTTTTTATGAATAACTTATTCAACATTTAATCTAATCTGATGTTATGCTTAATGGTGATGAAGGTTTACGTATTAATAGGCTTTAGCATAAAATGGGAACTCACTTTTTTAACGTCAAGATTACAGATTGTTTTCAAATCACTAGATTAAAGTATGTCAGGGAAGGCCTTAGAATGTAGAGAGATGGAATTAAATTTTTGAAAAGGAACAAATCAAAATAAATGTTTTTAAAGAATCATTGATACTGGTACTCAATCAGTTAGTCAACCGTAAGAAAGTGCCTGGAAAGTTAACTGAATTAGTAGCGATCTTGGCTACCTGGGAGCGGGAGTCTAAGGAATATCTGCTTAAACCTGGTTATACACAGTATTTTTATGACTAGTTCTTGATATGTTAACTCCGTGCATTGAAAGCTTTACCATCGGAGATGCAAATCCGTAAAGTGAGACGTGCTGTTCTTCGATACGGACCTCTCTAACCCCTTCTTTTCATTGTGTCGAAATAACATCGCTGTAGGTATTAGTTACCTGAGAAAAACACCTTATTTCCGTCTCATCGCAGCGGTATTCCACCATTGTCTCTATCTTAGTCGTTCTCTGGTGAATCTGCCTAGCATGGTAGGATCTAAAGAAAAAATGTTTTGGTCGTTATAACTATTAGGTTATTACAAGAGGAGTAGTCATTCCCGACGCCAAGTTAGCATGTGCGAGCTGGCGAAAAGTGGTACTGTAAATACAGATACACATAGAACAATGATAATAGTCAACCATGAAATTCCTATTTAAGAAATTCAAATGCATCTTAGATATTTCAACTAGACGAACGAGAATTGATGTGTTTGAATCATGTCAGGTCAAACCTGATGAATAAAAATTTCATGAATATTCATGAAAAGATAGTGGTAAGTTATGTACGAGTTGGTAGTGTTTTTAAGCTACTGTTATGAGTCATCTAAGAAGAATTATGGAACATTTTGTATTTAATATGACTAGATATGTTATGACTTTATGTCCGGCGTTTATCACGCGATTTATCCACCAATCAAAATACGACTTGTACAATCTTAGCACTGTGCCAAAACCACTGACGTTCGACCGGTATGAGCAGCCTAGCGTCCTTATTGGTCCTATGTCCGCCCAGCCCGTCCACTTGAGTTCAGAACAACAATACCAGCTTCCACTATGCGAATCAAATATTTCAAACATACTATGTTTATATATTAAACAAAGAGACCACAACCCATCATAAAATAGGAAATAACATTTGTACACAATAAAGTCAAAAAGTGGCTGTGAACGTGGGAGGCAGTAGTCAGTAAACTGAACATAGCTTAAGAACAGTAAATCATACAGAAATAAATTATAGGTCAAAATGAAGCTTATAATAAGAGGAATATAAATATACCTAATCTAATTACTGAATAATTATACAATAAGAATATTTCTGGAATATTAGTCCATTAATGGTCCTCGGAAGTTACCCATAATTTAATCTTCACTAGGACATAACAAGATAGACTGACGGTTAATCAATATTAACGCCTACCACGTCAGCCTACTTGAATGTATGGGCCACCTGTTCCTGCCATCTGAATATTCCAACAAGTTATCTGCTTTTGTTTGCATTAATGCATCATTATGTCTATTAAGCGTATGACCTATTCAGGTGCGTTTATAAGAAATTCACGACCTTTCGCTGTACAGGTTACAAAATAGTACAATCAGAGACATCGTAATGGCTGGTAGTATCCGTTGAAAAGAATGAACATTATTCAGATATCGATTACTGATCTGCTAACATCTAACTGGTGACCATTCAGTATTTATCGTCAGAATCGATCAAGAAATAAGGAAATGAAACTTGTTGACGTACTTTACTGAAAATTGTGTTGCATCAGAAATATAATATTGAATAAAGCCAATTATAATAATGAAACTCAATAATAGAGAAGAAACCGTCTATCTTCGGTTAGAAAATGGTTTTTGTTAGGTAGTTGGAGGTAGTTAATAGGAAACCCTACTTGACCTTATTTTCAGGATGTGCCTGGAAACTGGAAAGAACTAATAGTCCTTGTGGTATTCAAGCGATATACTGTTTTATATCCTGGGACGTTATCACTAAACTATTTAGACTAGGACTAGTCTCTTACACTCCTGAGATATTTATAACTGAGTGATGGCGGATTTCATGTTTGTCTAATCTTTCAAGAATTGGTTGGATTCTACCGACCAGGTAGTGGATCGACGTGACAACTATTTCAGATCGACAATATGTACCCCTATGCATTATTATGTTAGAAATATCTAAATGATGTTTCATCAATCTAATATCAAGCTCACCTTCAAATATACCTAAAAGTAGCTGGAAAACCCCATTTACTAAAAGTCAACAAGCATTACTGATAAAGAATGTATGGTAAATATTACTATATATATATTATATAATGCTGTTGTACATTTATAATTAATAATGACAACAGTAGAATTTATGTAAAAACTAAATTGTACTTATATGTATATGATACTAATGGACAACACGATAGAAAGCAATCATCACAACATACAATATTATTGACAATAATAGTAGTAATAACCATCCTAATTGTATGTAAGTTTAAAAAGGCGAATAGAATGACAAATGAATTACGGCTACCAATTAGGAAAATGCACAATTTTGTAGGGGTGTACTTACATAGGTGTTTGTGTACGTCTGCATGTGTTTTCACACATTTACATAGTAAACTAACGTGATGCATTTCACCCCATCGGTTAACACATCTGACTAAAAATATCTCTGTTTCTCAACAATATGTATATACTACTTACAAAGTTGACTAATAATGATATTAATTAGTTGATTTTCATAAATATCATGTAAACGGTTGATATTGTGAGAGAAAAAATAGGTGATGATAATGACGATTTCAATAATTGTGGAGCAGAATTACAATTATCCGTACCACAAATACATAATTCTGAATTGCCGCCTTCTGAAGGATGATCAACACATTTAATTTCTTCTGGCTCAGCACCTTCGGTAGCACAGAAACGTTTCATCAATGTGACTTCTATAATAATAATGACAGAGTATTGGTATTATTATGATTGATCAATTGATTTTTAAGGACAATGATTATTAACAAATGAAATGCGAAAACTAAGGGAAAATACTGAACCCTATTCTGTTGGTCATTTACAATCGAAAATTGTTTAAACACATGAGTATAGGTATTGATTAAATTATTTCCACATTGTAGATCACTTCCAATTTGAGCCTGAGAATTCCGTTACACCAGTTATGCCACTTACAAGTTGTAATTTTTAATGAGTTGGAGTTTTATAAGTAGTATTCATAACAGGTTGGTCTTAGTTGTGGTACTAATGAATACCCGGGAGCAGTGGACAACCGTTCTGTTCTAATATGCCACTTCTCAATAGAACACCTATGAAGTACCAGAGATCAAATCCAAAGCATAAAAGTCTCACGGAAAACGATTAACTATTAAGATCACCGAGTTGGCGTCCAATGTTCAATTCGCGATATAATACAGTAGTCATGGGATACCATTGTTGAAAATTCGTTTAAACTTCATCAATCATAATTCTCACTAAAACCTAAGGAACATTTTGAAGTAATTTATCAATGAGCTGATTGTTATACTTCATTTAAGACATTCTTCCTAACACCCCTTCCACTAAATCTAAATGTTTGTCCAATAAGTTATCTTGGTAGAATTACATTTTTACTTATGTAATAAATGAAATGGAACAGAACTTTTATAATCCTTAGAAGAGCTGATATTTTTATTGTTGTCAGAAAGTGTATTTTTAAACTGGAACGAATAGGTGAGAATGACAAACTATGGAAGTCATTCTTTAAGGAGATCAGTATTTACATTTTTAATGTGAATGTATTAAATAATTAGTATAAGATTTTAATCTTCTCGTAGTTATAAAATTCCGTTTGCCGCATTGATAAATTAAAATCATGAAGTGATCAATGATAGTCTGACTGTGGTTTATGTATAGAATTAAGCTAGATTTCGAAGTCAGGATATAGAAGATTTGTTGACTAGTTTTTTCCCTGTTTTGATTAAGGCTTGAAGATAAGTATTCTGTGTAAGCTAATAAACGTTAATATATTAGGTCATTAAATCTGGGAGATTCTTATATCATGTTTGGTTAAATTCATAGTTGTTTATACTTGAACTTGATCACTAATGCTATTACCGAAATCATAATATTATAATGGTTATAAATTTTCATAAATCACATAAGATGTAATTCACTTGGTATTGTTTCCTTGAATATTCCTGGATTCCACTGCTAGCCACTATCCATCTTTGCTTAAAAAGCTTTTGAGTTAAGGCAATAGCACAGTATGCATATATGCCAATAAGAGACTTGTCAATTGTAATCGGAAGATCCAAGTAAACAATCTTCACCTGATTGCACAAGAAAGCGGCCATAAGGACTCAGTAGTTAAGTGGATAACAAGAGGGCGTTTGAAGCGAAAGGTACTGGGTTCGAGTTCCAGAGTAAACATCAACTCTGAGATGCAGATCCATCCAGCTGACGAGTCCCAAATAAGACGAAGCGCGCGTCCTGAATTCCACTGCTAGCCACTATCCACTTTTGCTCACATAAGATATATTTATTAGAGAAAAGATTAAGGTTTAAAATCCTTCTTTGTTTACTATCGATATACTTGGATATCGTTATACTTCCGGTATATAAGATATAAACTAAAGTTAACTAAGATGTATAATTTGTGTTAAACAAATCCGATATTTAATATCTTCATAACCATTGAATAAGTCAATGCCTATCTGGAATCTATAGCTCAGTATGCAATTCATTGCAGTTTAAAGTGAATGGTACTGGGTAAGAACAAAAGGTAACTTTAAATATTCAATAAAAATCATATTAAACTTTATGAATTAGATGCTACATAATCAAATAGCTGAGATTATCATGAACCATCACAATGTTACTGTTTATTTTCTGTAATAAAACTCATACTGATTCAGTTGGGGTTTTTATTAAACTTTTCTTAATGGGATTATTTTCCTGGTTATATTTATGCATAGGATTTGTAATCATCAATATATTTGGTATGTATGTCTAGCAGTGAAGTCAAAAACTTATGTTATTAATGTCAAAGTTAAAACTTTTCATTTGGATAAACCTACATCTCAGTAATATTTACACTAAGACTCGAATCCATTGCTTTTCACTTAAGTAGATGATGTAACAGTAAGAGTTTTCAACATTCAGAAATGCAATAAATTAGTCTATGATGTGATATGTACATTTGAGATGCATATCAAATGTACTACAGTTTATGACATAACTCTTAATTGAAACAATTCGTAAGAAAAAAACTGATCGGTTGAGCTTTTGAGTTTTTATTTCTGCACACTGTGAAATAATATAATTACAGTTATGATGAAAATTACATAGTAAACAACTTTTAGATTAAATTGTTTAGTACTTACCTTTAATTCGACCTTTACCAACGGGTTCTTTTAAGTAGGTGGTAAGTTTAGCACATCCACGTGGTGTATTCTTATCATTCACAATACTGGTGGGTAAATGTAGAGAAAAGAATAACAACAGTAATTAATTAGATAAGTAGTCATGTTCTAATGATGATGAAATCAATGTTTTTTTCTAACTGGTAATACTGATAACCTACAAACTACTGATTTTATTTTGTAGATTGAGAAAATTGAATCCAGCTGATATTCTCCTGAAAACCAGTGGGTATTTAGATGCAGTACACAGTTAGTTCTATACCTGTCAGTGAGATACATATATGATCATAATGTGATTCGAATTCAGAAGTATCAGGTTCCGTGGAAAGCGCGTTACTTCCAAATTACGAAGTCACTTCATAGATAGTATCACTGATTGTTCTTAGATAGAAAAGCATTGAAAACCAAACAGCACTGAACAACTGTATGGGACTCATACTGCAGACCCATCAAATGCATCACTTGTCTATTAATCAATAGTTTCGCGAGTTAATTCTTGAAGACTTAGCAAGAAGCTGTGACCAACATGCAAAACCATATTTGGGGTGTAGTGGTTATTTACCTACAACACTCAAAGTTAGGCGATATTATGAATTCAGTAAAATTATAAGTATAAACCAATGAACGGGGACTTTGGGGACCTGAAAGACCTGGACTCAGTGTACGGTGATGTCACGGATACACTACCATTCAATGCTTTTTACTTTTCAGTGGTTGTCTAAAAAAGTTTGGTTCATGCTCTAAACCATAATGTTTGGTCCAGTTTTTAGATTTTCTTGTCAAACATTTACAAGCAACGAAATATCAGTCATCATCGAAATCTCTAAATTTTTAATGTGAGATTCAATAATATCATCCAATATGTATAGAGTTCTGTAGAAAAGACCTTCCAAATTGTAAATAAAATATGTTTAATTATTAAGAAAACTGAGATTTGTACATCAGTTATAGAAAATGACATAGTGTAAAAGCAATACCTGGGTAAATATTTATACTTTTGCATTCGGCTTGTATACCGAACACATAAATTGATAATTTATTATTATTTTTCATTAAATTAAACTTTTAAACAAACCAGTTCAATCATAAATCATGAATAATTAATACATTTCAATGGAGTATAAAACGCTAATACATAATATCATCTCAAAGATGGATAGTGGCTAGCAGTGGAATCCAGGACGTGCGCTTCGTACTATTTGGGACTCGTCAGCTGAATGTATCTGCATCCCACAGTTGATGTCCTGGGTTTGAGTCTCGGAGTGATCATCAACTCTGGGATGCAGGTACATCCAGGTGACAAGTCCAAAATAGGACGAAACGCGCATCCTGGATTCCACTGCTAGCCACTATCCATCTCTGCTTATAAAGCATGCGAATTAATGCAATATTGAGGCAATACGCATAGTATGCACATATGCCAATAAGAGACTGATCAATTGCAGTCTTAAACCTCAATGGGAAGATTCAAGTAAAAAAAATACCAAGTCAATAATATCATTTCTCTGTAGTAGTTTCTTATTATCATTGTTATATAAAAATAGATAACTCACCATGGTTTAAAGAATAGTTCCGGTTCATCTAAACATCTACGACGATACATATCAGTTTCTACAAAAGTTTTTGATTTATCCACTTCTAATTTCATTTCACATTGTGCACAACTGATATTTCTAGCTGGTGTGAAACCTTAAAACAAAAGAATAATAAATAAACTGATCAGTATATAATTATAGACAGAATTTCATTTGACTATATGCAAAGGTAATCGCTTGATTCATATAGATTTATTCATATTAAAATTATCATATCTAATGTCTTTTCTATAATTGACACCTAATTTCTATCGAACAATTCGTCCGTATATTGATGAATCTTTGTATAAAATTATTATTTGATGATTACTGTGTGGTGTGTACTACTGATCTCGACAGATATAAGTAGTATGTATGATCAGTCGAAAGTTGTGCTGATATGTCAGTCAACGACTATCTACCTCGATGTGCGACGTTATCTAATGTAGAGTTAAGTTGGAAGAAAGTTATTGACAGCCGAACTAAGATGTAATATCAGTTCAAAATTTAATTGACTTTTAATTAGGGTGTGTAGTTAGTTGCAGATCATGTGGTCTATGTATAATATTCATAGGGTGACCAAGCATAGATAACAACAAAACATATAAATTGTACTAGAAAGTCACTGATTATCATGAAAAGAACAGACATAAGCGTAAATTCTTTATTACACGTCGTAAAAGGTCAATGAACCATTTCAATCTATTTTAATTATATTCACTTAGTATTGTTTGCTAGTATCTTACGATTGTTGTTTAGGACTACAATTAATCAGTCTCTTGTTGGCATATTTGCATACTGTGTGGATGGCTTCGATATTACCTTAAGTCATAAGCTTTCTATGCAAAGATGGATAATGGCTAGCAGTGGAATGAAGGACGCGAGTTTCATCCTATATCCAGTTGATGAGTCCCAAATAGGACGAAACGCATGTCCTGGATTCCACTGCTCACTATCATCCACATTAGCATAGAAAGGGATTTTAATTATGTTAAAAATATATCTAGAATAGCTTGGTTAGTGTATTGTAAAGAGAAGAATGCTGAAACCAAGTTTGGAATTTATTAGAATTTTTAAAAATCCTACATTATGCAATATGAGTATCATCATATTACATGAATAATACATACTGGTGTAAAATAAGTGAACTTTAATACTGTTAATCTTAGTTATTGTAGAACATGATACAAATGATCATCAAACAAAATTTCTGTACCACATTAGCATAACAAGAAGGATCATACAAAGAAGATTTATAATCAACTATAACGGAGATTCAAATATAGGTATTACATTTGAGTAGTGGCTAATAATGAAATCTAGAGTGTGCGTTTCGTTCTGTTTTAGACTAATCTGATAGATGTTGTACTAATTTTCATACTGAAACTTGAGTACAATACCCTTCACTTTAAAAAGCTGATATTTTATTCACTAAAATGATTCAGTCCAAATCGTCAAGTACTTTTTTTTAACGAGAATAGAACCATTAAAAATGATTTGTAATTTCTCATTTTTAATATTAAGAACTTTAAATGATCAGTCTATGTTGCTTTATGATTGATTAGCCAAGTCACATACCAAATATACTAGAATTCATAATAGAATGCCATATAGAAGCAATCTATTCAGGATGTCTATATGGCTACAAGGACAAAATAACTGAAGTTTGAATTATCATTAACAACAACAACAAAAATTACAAACCCTGGTTAATACATCAAAACGACCATTGAAATGGAACAAATGAAGCCAAAGAACAAAAAAAAGAGAATCAAAAATGAAACTTAAATCAAGATTTAAAGTAAGCTAAAATCTTATTTGTGAGCCCCCAAATGCCCTGGTATGGCCGAGAGTGGGGAGCATCCTCTCTCCCTCTCGAAATGCTCTCACATGGCCACGCGTATATAGCCTCTGCCAGGGAAGTCCTACTCACTGCCTTCTCGTGGCGGGAATGTTGTTTACGAAAATGAGAGGACGAGAAGTGAATGTCCAGCGCTTTAACCGGATTCCAAACCAATGGTGTGCAAGGGATCCAGGATCCTGAGGGAACAAATGGCGTATGAACCGATTGTTGGTCACGGGCTCCCATAGGACTGCATCTCCCCGTCATGCTCCACTGCCTTGTGGATCAGACCTTCAGGTCGAAGGCTCGGGGAATGGCTCCCTAAGACAACCACCTGCTTCGGTCTGGGCACCCGTGCAGTATCACAGCCCTCACACATATCGAATGAGATTTGTGTGGCGCATATATATTTGTTGCCTCCTTGTACCAATATGTATGTGTTATAATAAATAATAATAATAATAAAATCTTATTTGTAAATGCATCATAACAATAATTTGTGGAACATTCAATTAAAATATCATTTAGAAAAGCCGGATATGAATTATATGTATTTTTGTGGTCACAAAACTTCAGTTTTTCGAAAATCTTTAGTAAACATCGTATCAACGAAGTATATAATAATCAGTAAAATTATAACATATAAGATTAATTAGCGAGACTATCATTTATGGATGAATCAATTCAAATTTACGATAACAGGTCTTAAATTTTGGCGCGAAATTCATTCACTCATTTGTTCAAATAACATTTTGGCATTTTAACTGATGTCGGTTCGTGATGATAACCATAAATCTAATTCCTAACCCTAACCATTAACCGTAAATCATAATACCTATTCTTCAAACAGCTTTATAACTATCATTTAGCCCTAATCAGTAGGTGTCCACTCTCAAAGTCACTTTAGCGTCGCTCAAATGTCGTCCATAAACTATAATCACACCATCTTACCTAATATTTTTCAGTGTTTAAGAAAGAATTTAACATAAGCAATAAAAATTTATCTCATTAATATTTACGTAACCCGATCACTCAATGATGGAGCATTCCTATCATGACAACCGAGTTGGAACTATTTTCTTTTAGGTTTGTACAATAGCAACCAGGTTGGTTGGATAGTTGTAAGGTTGCAAGAAAAAGATTTAAGATTAGAGAACAAAGTTGTACTGATGATTATTTTCTAGTTTCAAAATTATCTTGTACTTTGCTATTCAATGAATTCACTCTTTCATCCTGAATGATACTTTTTTATACTTAAAATTTCTACCATAACTGGTATTATGGCTGATTCTATTACTCTGCCATTTATGTTAATAACTACTCTTGATTATGTTGGTATGGTATAACAACTTGAACCGATGCACATATCTCCCATGTTCTACAATGCTTATGACTGACTGGTTGGTCAATATATTAGAATACTAGTTTTAAAAACATTTGGATATCTACAAAAACTAAGTTATCCAAACTCCATCAATGATAATGTTACGAAAAGTATTTCCATACTTATGCGATCTTTTACTAACATTGATATCAAGGCAAAATGTTATCTATATCTATGACTTATAGTGCACTAATTAGTGTTATAAAAAACAATGCTTTATACATATCATTATAGTGAACGAACACTCAGGTGAAGAAGACCAATTTAGTGTTTCATGTACAATAACATAGTGGTTTAGTATGATGTGAAAATCATATACCAAACATATCATTTACACATCCTTTTTGAATTGTCTCTTACATGTATCATTGTCCCTTTGTTCCTATTGATATATTGATTGCTTTCAATTTCCTTCTCTCCTCACTTCAGTTCAGTCTTCTGAACCTTCTGCTTGCAGACATTCTGTGGTGTGTGTTACTGATATCGGCAGATACAAGTAGTATGTATCGTCAATAGAAAGTGAAATGTCTGGTGGGAGAAGGTTAAGATCGAAGGAAAGAGAATGAGAACAGAGAATGTTTGGTATGGAAATGATGGAATAGTGAAGTCTAAGACAATTGATTAACATTTTGCGAATGAACTCTTTATTGTATGGTTCTCAGATTTTACTAAGAGATTCTATATTCTCCTTCACTACAATTCCACTTACGACTAGTGTTACATACTACTTATATCTGTTAACAAAAGTAGCATGCATCACATTAAATTTGGCTTTATGTTATCAACTACAAATATCGATCGGTAAAGATCATTATGATTTTTATTAAGTTTATGTTAGATGATTAATACAAAAATATTTATCATCGGCTTATACAAAATTAGTGTAATAGGAAAATAGTCGTCTTAAATACATTGTTATTTACTTACTTACTTACGCCTGTTACTCCCAATGGAGCAAAAGCCACCGAACAGCATTCTCCAACCCACTCTGTCCTGGGCCCTCCTTTCCAGTTCTATCCAATTTTTGTTCATTTTTCTCATGTCTGTATCCATTTCCCGGCGTAGTGTGTTCTTTGGTATTCCTCTTCTCTTTTGGCTTTGAGGATTCCATGTGAGGGCTTGTGACACAGTTGAGTGCTTTCCTAAATGTGTGTCCTATCCACTTCCAGCGCTTCTTCCTGATTTCTTCCTCCACTGGGATCTGGTTTATTCTTCCTAACAATAGGTTGTTGCTAATAGTGTCTGGACAATGGATCCGAAGTATTTTGCGTAGACAAATGTTAATGAACATTTGTATCTTCTGGATGATGGCTTTCGTAGTTCTCCAGGTTTCTGCCCTATACAGTAGAACTGTCTTGACATTTGTATTGAAAATCCTGACCTTGGTGTTGGTTGACAGTTGTTTTGAGTTCCAGATGTTCTTCGGTTGTAAATATGCTGCTCTTGCTTTGTCGATCTGCGCTTTTACATCTGCATCAGACCCACCATGTTCATCAATGATGCTGCCCAGAAACGTAAAGGTTTTTACATCTTCCAAATCTTCTCCGTCAATTAGGCTGCGTTGTATCGGAGATTCTTGCTTTTCCCTTTGTGTATATTGAGACCTATTGCTGCCGTGGCTGCTGTTACACTGGTCTTCTCCTGCATTTGTTGTTGCGATTGCGATAGGAGGGCCAGATCTTCTGCGAAGTCTAGATCGTCCAGCTGCATCCTAGACGTCCACAGTATCTCGTGCTTCCCTTCAGATGTTAACGTCTTCATGATCCAGTCGATCATCAGGAGAAAGACAAAGGGTGAGAATAAGCAACCTTGCCTGATATCGGTCTTTACTTCAAACGACTTTGTCAACTGTCCTCCATGCACAATTTCGCAGTTTAATCCATCATAGGAATTCTGTATGATATTGATTATCTTCTGAGGCACGCCGTAGTGTCGAAGAAGCTTCCATAATGTTGTCCTGTCCACGCTATCAAATGCCTTTTCGTAGTCAATGACGTTGATGTAGAGTTATGAATTCCATTCAATTGATTGTTCCACAATGATCCGTAGAGTTGCGATTTGGTCTGAACACGATCTATCCTTACGGAATCCAGCCTGTTGGTCTCGAATTCGGGTGTATATGGAGACCTTCATCCTGTTTAACAATACTCTGTTGAAGACCTTTCCCGGTATTGAGAGAAGAGTAATGCCCCCGTAGTTATCACGGTTGCTGAGATCGCCTTTCTTTGATATTTTGATCAGAAGTCCTTCCTTCCAATCTGTTACTACTTGTTCCTTATCCCAAATCTTGCTGAAGAGGATGTGGAGTCTCCTTGCAGTTACCGCTACGTCTACTTTCAGTACCTCTCCTGGAATGTTGTCTGGTTCTGTTGCTTGCCATTCTTGATTTGTCTGATGACCATACTGATCTTTTCAATTGTTGGTAAGCCAACATCGATTGGGATTAAATACATTGTACTTTCCAGAAATCTATAAATAGTCCATCTATTTTTTGAACTCGTTTATTTTGTATAATGAAGAAAATATTTTAAACTTACACAAAACAAAGATTGATAAGATCTTGATAATGATTTATTCATTTAAAGGAATATTATATAATCATTATATTACACCTATACTACATATAATTTAAATAAATGAAAATCAATAAGATTCAAGGTCATATTAAATAGAAACTAATCAATAAATATCCAAATGTTTTTAAAACTAGTATTCTAATATATTGACCAACCAGTCAGTCATAAGCGATGGAGAACATGGGAGATATGTCCATCGGTTCAAGTTGTTATACCATACCAACATAATCAAGAGTAGTTATTAACATAAATGGCAGAGTAATAAAATCAGCCATAATACCAGTTATGGTAGAAATTTTAAGTATAAAAAAGTATCATTCAGGATGAAAGAGTGAATTCATTGAATAGCAAAGTACAAGATAATTTTGAAACTAGAAAATAATCATCAGTACAACTTTGTTCTCTAATCTTAAATCTTTTTCTTGCAACCTTACAACTATCCAACCAACCTGGTTGCTATTGTACAAACCTAAAAGAAAATAGTTCCAACTCGGTTGTCATGATAGGAATGCTCCATCATTGAGTGATCGGGTTACGTAAATATTAATGAGATAAATTTTTATTGCTTATGTTAAATTCTTTCTTAAACACTGAAAAATATTAGGTAAGATGGTGTGATTATAGTTTATGGACGACATTTGAGCGACGCTAAAGTGACTTTGAGAGTGGATACCCACTGATTAGGGCTAAATGATAGTTATAAAGCAGTTTGAAGAATAGGTATTATGATTTACGGTTAATGGTTAGGGTTAGGAATCAGATTTATGGTTTTCATCGCGAACCGACATTAGTTAAAATGCCAAAATGTTATTTGAACAAATGAGTGAATGAATTTCGCGCCAAAATTTAAGACCTGTTATCGTAAATTTGAATTGATTGATCAATTTCAGTCCCTAGCGTCAACAACATGAAGATATTATCTGTTTCAAATAATAAATAACCGTTTATTTCCATTGTAAAAGCTGGTGGCTATTTGGATTCTATAGCTCAATGGGTAACATGAACTAAACTTGAAGTAAAAATTACTCGGTTCGACTTTGAGAATGACAATTAAGACAGAAATATAGGGGTTTCTAAGTGACTTATTCAAAATCGGACAAGACGTAAGTCCCAGATTTCACTACTATCCACCATCCAACTTTACTATAAATATAAAATTAGATTTTGCGCTGAAATTATGATAGATAATACTTAAAATAATTTAATTGTCATTACTGTTTCCGTGGAATTTCGATACTAATACAAATGATACATTTTCTTCCATGAAATATCCATAGCAAATATTCATCCTATTTACACTGTGAAGAATTTGTTATTCAATATCGTTTTGTAATTTTTAGTTAGGTAATTTCTAATTCATTCTCTATTTGATTATCTTCTTGTAAATCTCATGTATACTATTGTCAGTCAGTCAGCTACAACGTAGGACCAGGCACATAAATGCATCCGTCCAAGTTACCATACCTCATAAACACAACAAGATGGACAGCGGATTCATAAAAGTAGTTAATTCAGAGGTGATAATATATAAAAAAGATTGCAATAAGGAAATAGTACACGAAGAAAGAATTAGTTCTCAGAAAGAAATATATGAAGCGATTTTAATTTCTTAGTTTAAGGGAAGACAGAGAGTGTATACACCGACGCCATTATGATCAATTCTGAGCTATGTCACCAAGAGTCTCCAGCCATTGGTTACGATAAGTGAAGTTGTCGACACATTCGACTACTTCACTCTCTATCCTTAGTTCAAGTGTTGACGTAGACCAGTCCTGAAGCAGCAGCTTGCATTTAGAGGGAGAGAAGCGCATTTCAAACATTCTGGCATTGTATAGTATTGTAAAATGTGATAACATGAACTAGTACATATTTTAGTGACAGATTTAGTTTTCTTTTTCACATTGACAGTTCAATGTTTAATGATTTTAATTTTGTATAAAGCGTGTTCGAACCGTGAAACTTTTAGGATACTTGACTATCTGCTGAAAAGATGATTAAAATGACTGAGTAATCAGAATGATCAAGATAGTTAGGTGACAGTGATAAAGCATTCAAAAGTTTTTGGGTTCGATTCTCTGTGTCAAGGTCGTGAAAGTGTACTGCTGAGGAATTCCATGGTAGAACGAAATAGCTGTTGAGTGCTTCCTGATTCCCAATGATATTCTAGCTAACATTCACGATTTTTTAAAAAAACTACTAAAATATAAACTTTATTTAATTATTCAGTTAAACTAAGGAAAAATTAGTGAAAAGGCCAGCTCTATTCAATAAATGCATAATTTGATTCTCACGAAGAATCTCATAGTACTTTTGATATATTTTCATAACTAATCAGTAACTGGATGAAATTTGTTCTTTCTAAAAATGACTTCATCGCGTTAAACTATCTGTTTCAAAGTTCAATTCCTGGATTGTTATTGCTAATTATTGTTCTCTTAGCTTCCATAATAAATGTAAATGGATTGTATGCTATTATTGGGTCATCAAATCATCTTTCCTTTCGTTCTTATCTTTTACAACCCTTCTTATTCATACTATTCTGCGTGTCATCCTAGTACACAAATTATCTTCTGGACAGACTCGAACTACTACATGAATATTTCAACATGTTTATATCAATCCTCATATGGTTGAGGTTATCTTAAACATTTTCAAGTGAGACTATAATTTATGGATGGCGTTTGAGCGACGCTGAAGTGACCTTGAGAGTGAACAACTACTAATTAAGACTAAATAAGGGTTATAAAGCAGTCAGAATTCTCATTTACAGTTGATAGTTATGGTTAAAAATTAGATTTAGGGTTTTCATTACGAACTGACATCAGCTATAATGCCAAAACTCTATTAAGCCAAATGTATGGTTGAATTCCGTGCCCAAATTCGTGACTTGTTTGTTATCTTATATCTGATTGGTTCGTCCATAAATTATAGTCTCGCCCATTTTCAATATTCAGTAAGTATATTGTATCTGTGTTTACAGTTTATATAACGAGTAAATCTTGGATATTAGAATGTAATTTTCATAAAAGATTTCATTTCAAAAACTAATTTTCAATACATTTGTGTTTTTTTTTTCAGCTGACATGTCGGGCTACGTTACATTGTCATGTTCATATCAAACAATTAAAGATAATACTAGAGGATCAAAATAAAATCTTTGATGGGAATTACACACAGATGTTAAGCAAACATTCACTTAATGAATGGAAAAAATGACCGAAATTACTAGAAAATATACTTGATGAACACTGAAAACAATGTGGATAACCCCAGTTAATTATAATTGTTATTGATTGAGATCATGAACCAATTGATGTTAGACCATCATTGAAAACTTGGATAGATACCCGTAGATACCTGTATTTACCTCAGTACAATGGAAGATGGTCGCGCAATTTCGTGAATTGGTTCATGTTGGACATTAACACCGTTGAATGCCAGGTTGAGCATTCGCACTCGAGACTGAAGGCCCTCGGTTCGAGTCTCACGAGCGGGATCGTGGATGCGCACTGTTGAGAAGTCCCATAATAGAACGAGGCGGCCATCAAGTGCTTCCTGATTTTCAGTAATAGTCCAACACTAATCAGTTCATGATCTCGATCAATAATTTAGTAATCTCAACAACCCTATACTGATTATTATAATTGTTATAAATTAAAAATTTTGTAAGTAGTATTATATAAAATATGTAATTTAATCTATGTAGTCAATGTTTATTCCCATCTTAAAATGATGATTACTTACTTCTTTGATAAGGTGTAAGTGGTCGTGCTGAATAAGCATGGTTTATAAAGATGATTAATAAAAGATATACATAAGCTGGGATCAAATTCATGATATTCCAACCACGATATTTTGGAAGGGACTGGAGCAAAACACGTGACTAAATAAATATTTACATACTTAGATGTGGTATATATATCTATGTATATCTCTATGCAATTGGGATAAATTACTTTCTTATTATTATTGGTTGAATAATTCAGGTTGACCTTAAACGATCAATACTGTTTGGTTTTTTGATTGGTTAGTCATGAATATCATCTCCTAATTTATAGATTGTTTTCTGTAGTCAAAATAAGTAATAGTATTCGATGGATTTATTTATTCAGAACTATGACAGTTCTTACATTAGTAACCAACGTAGTGAAGATTAGTTGTATCTTAGTTATAAGTATTGTAGAGATGATATTATTTTAAACTTAAAAAGTGTTAATGGTTAGTAGCGGTTGTCGATCATGAATAACGTCACACTTTATTAAATATGTTATGTAAAACTTACCATACTCATCTTTATTATCATTCACTTTGTAAGCAGAGATGGATGGTGGTTTGCAGTAAAATCCAAGACGAGCGTTTCATCCTTATTTGGACACGTTAGCCGCATTTACCTGGATCCCAGAGCTGATGTTCGCTTAAGGACTCAAAACCAACTACCTTTCGCTTCAAATGTCATTGTGTTATCCACTTAGCTACTGAGATCAGATAGCCGCCTGCTTATGCAATGGGTGAATTTTAATTTAAGTCCATATATATTGGTTGTTTGGATCTTTCTACAGGATGAAACGCGTCTCCTGCATTCTACTGCTAACCACCATCCCTCTCTGTATAAAACGCTTGTGACTCACTGGCAATCCGAACAGGATGCATATATATTATATGAAGTACTAAGTGTCAGTGGGGAGATTCAAGCAACTAATACAAAATCGTTTAAGTTGTTCCTGTTATTATGTTACGCCAAAATGTCGTAAAATGAAACTACTTAGGATGAAGAATTTAAAGCATAGAGGCTTGTACATAACGTTAGTGATAAGCAGATTGAAAATATGAAGTGTAGGCTACGAGCTTTCGCTTTAAATGTGATGCCAATACGTCTTAATGAGTCCAACAGTTAGGAATTAAAATGATGACAGGCTTTTCTATTTTGTAGAATGAAAGTAGACTGAGACATCTTAACTTATTTCAACTATCTTATTATAGTCTAATAGGAGATTTAATATTGTATTCTGAACGATGATTCTGGTATCAAACCTTCTTGTATTTTTTTTATATCTAGGAATTCAAAAACTAGTATCAAACCTTGGCTTGCATTTCTGACATCCAGTTGTGACTAACTGGGATTCTATGCCACAATTCATAATGTTAACACCATGTACGTCAAAGTAAGATTTGATTTTAACATCACTACAAAGTTCAAGGAATAACATAGATCATTTTATCTCCTATCTTCACTACTGAAGACTAATACTTGCTAGTAATGCAATATACATTTAGATGAGGACATTAGACTGGTTTCAGGAACATCTAACGTACTCGAAGAAAGAGAACTATGCATCTGTACATCACACTTTTCACCAGGTATTATAGTATGATATTATCTAAGGAAAAGTATTCACAACGGATAAAATTCTTTCATTCATTTGATTACTACCTTTTTAACTCATAACACTGTCTACAGAAATATTTTAAGGCAATAAAAATGAACTAAATGATAATACCATAAGTCGGTTGAATAATTTGTTATTTGCTTACTCATATTCACAATCCTTAAACATCTTTGGAGTTAAGTAATAAAACATACTTCTATCCTTCGTTGCTATAAGGTATGAGGCCTTAAGAATAAATGATCATTTGAGTAATGAAGTCATAAATATTCATGACTGTTCGGTTTTTGTGACATTTGTTACATATAATCTTCTACTAAGTACTTTTACTGTTTTAAGTGTAGGTTGGATTAAAAGCCTAGCAAAGAGATGTGTTCAATACACGTTATAGAAGTATGCTATCGCTTGTAGGAAGAAACTTCCAGTTTAAATATTACGATACAATCCGCGTTTTGGATACGTCAAATGATATGATTCTATATCATGAGTTTTGTGACATTCCGTACTTTACATCTTGTAATCTCACCTTTTCATATTTTTTATTTAATCCTTTGATGAAATTGATAATATGTCTCCTTGATGACCTCTGTCTTCATAATTTCCTGTCTTTTAATGTACTGTTGTATAGTGGAATAGCTTGAGTTAATGCATATTATTATCAAGCGTTTAGTCTTGTATTCATTAGCGGATTGATTCTGGACACAATGAGTATATTAGATTTGTGGTTGGCGGGGAAATCTAAGACGCTAGTGTCATCCTGTTGTGGAATCATTTCCTAAGGCCAAGTATTCATGTTCACAATGAGATTTGAACCCAGTAACTTTCACTTCAAACACTAACTCATTATCCCCTGAGCCACTCAGTTCGGATAATCACGGGTATGAAATGATCAGTGGTAGAACCTATGGCAAGAGATAGTGATCAGTTAATGTCCTGAATATTCAGACTCTCAATAATACATTCATACCCACTAAACAAGACGGTAGCTGTCTGGACTCATTAGCATGGTAAATAACTCGTTTGCATTTGAACTGAAAAAAGCAGTGTTCGAATCCTGGTGGAAATGTCAACACACATGGAGGTACGTCCAGATCATAAGTTCCAAATACGCTAAACCAAGCGTCTTGAACTTCACTGCTAACCACATTTCAAGCACACTAAAACTTGTTACATAACACTATAATAAATCAACCCGCTCAGGGTCAACAATATTGTGATAGAGTTTGAATATCTACAATAGGAAAGTATAAATCATTAATAATACTTGATAAGAATGTTTGAATAATTTGTCGATTTTTTTTAAAATTTGTTCAACTAATTGTGTTTTCATCTTCGATGCCAGTATATCCAACTAAGTCATTGTTCATCGGTTTTTCTAGATGAGGTCATAAAGAATGCTTTGATATACAGTACGATTACTTTTTATCAGAGAACGATAAATTCATTATCAAGAATTTAACTGAAGTTATTAGGATATTCATACACTCAATCCATTTGATGATATCTTGCTCAAGAATCTACTGTCTGAATGATGATAACTCATGGACGGTGGATTGGTTATAGTTAGACATTAACACTGTTGGTTGCCTGAGATACCTGCATGTTATTGTTATGTCCAGTGGCCCGTCAAATATCACGTGACAAGATTGCTAATCAGAAAACCGACTTTTATAACCTGGCCCCTGTACTAAACCAATGACATGCCAACCAGGACAAGCACCCTTGAGTCAACTCCGAATCCTTTATTGGTCCTCTGTACATCAGCTTCTCGCCTAGTCCAGTTAGTTCAGTCCAGAATACAAATATCAGCCTCCGCTATACGAATTGTACATTTCAGACAGACTTGGTTTATATACACCACATCAGACAGCATCATACCATAAAATGGAAACCGACTGTTTTATAAGATCAAGCCAAATGTGGTTGTGTGGAAGACTGTAGCTAATAAACTGGGAATAAATTAAGCCCGATAAATCGTATGACATTAGCCAGTAAGTCAAATGAAAGCTTACGATAAAAGGTATATATATATATATATATATATATATATATATATATATATATATATATATATATAATTCTAGTTACATATAAATTATCCAATGAGAATATATGTAACAATAGTCCATAAATAATTCTTTGCAGTTACCATCCATTTATTCTTCGTTCAGCATCCAAGGGTGTTAATGTTTCACTTCCATCGATCCGTGAATGGGTGCACAATCATTTACCCATTGTCTGAGGCAGATACCTGGACTCCACTGATCCTGGCTTCTCACTAAAACTCCAGGATACCGGCTAAGTGGTCTAGAGGTTAAGGGTTCGTTCACGAGACCGAAGATCCTAGGTCCGAATCCCGAGTGCGGGATCGTTGGACGCGCACTGATGAGGAGTCTCACACTAGGACGAAACGACCGTCAAGTGCTTCTACGTTTTCAATGGTGGTCTAGCTCAGATTGACTGATGAATTCAGCTATTAAAATGATTGTTGTCACAGATGGAGAGAGTTCACGAATATTAAAAACACTTACTCGTCATTATTATTAATCTACTCTATCAAATTCATGTAAAATTTATACTGATAAATCAAAGAATAATTTGAATCACTCAATATACGTAGTTGGATAATTTATGATTGAAAGAGAAACTTTAGGAAAAATCGAAATAATTATAATGATAATGAACTGGATAAAAATACAACAGAAACAACGCCCATTGAGTACTAGAACTAGTTTAATGACTGGGATATACATATACGCATACATATTTTTCCTTATTTTCCTAAAAAATCAAATTACAATAAGCTTACTTCCTTTAGCTAACGATTGATAGGCGATGTACAGACACGTTTTATGGATTTATCAATTTTTGCCCTACAGTTTAATAACTTATCATGAGAAGTCGGTTGTTTCTAAAGTAAGAAATCTGTAGAAATCTTAGTATTATCAGAGTTGAATTTACTGGTAGATCTAAGCTAGACCACCATTGAAAACCTGGAGTCACTGGAAGGCCGTTTCGTTCTAGTATGGGACTCTTCCAAAGTGCGCATCCACGATTTCTCACATGGGACCCAAACCTGGAGTCCTAGTAAAAAGCCAGGATCGGTGGAGTCCAATCCATGTTGGGTGTGACACATTTGTCCACCTTGGACAGTGAATGAGGGGTTGCGTAAGATCATGAATTGATTGACGTTGGACACCGTTAGTTGCAGACTCAGTCGTCTAGGAGTTAGGCGTTCTCGCGCGAGACCGAAGGGCCTGGGTTCGAGTGTCTTGTGTGAGATCGTGGGTGAGCAGTCTAGTAGTTTCATACTAGGACGAAACAGCCATCCAGTGCTTCCAGGTTTTCAATCGTGGTCTAATTTAGGTTGACTACTGAATTCAACTATGTTAACAATGTCAGTCAACGTAGAACAGATAACGAACTTTTTTTCTGAATCAAATTATACTATTTATATAACTTGTGAGTAGTACTTTGCTATTCAAGAAAATATGTCATTTGCTGATTGTTGAAGTAAAATAATGAAATATAAAATGACGAGAAAGTTTAGTATGGT